AGATGCCATAGATTTTTAAGTTGTTTTTTTTTTATTAATTAAACAAATATTTTTTGAGTTATAGGAACTATCTAGATGCTTGGCATAAAGCAGTAAAACCCCTGGAGTATTCATTTTTCCTGGTGCCTCCATTTCAGTAAAAATTAGCACATGAACATTCTTTTCACATATGTAATATTGTAACTATCTCCTCCACCCCAAGCCCCAAAATTCACCATCGTATTTATACCTTCAAACTGACTAACCAGTAAGCCCAACTCTTCAGGTAAAAAGCAGTGAAAGATGGTCTGTAAACACTGAACTTCTTGGAAGACTTCAACAATTTCACAGCTATTAGAAGGGAAATTTACAAATCAAAAGCTGATTGGAAATAAGAGGAAGAGACAGGATAGACAGAATCCTGGAAGGTAGTATTAGAAGTAAAAGTGACCTAAGTCAACTGGGGAGACAGCCAAAAGCAAACAGAATAGACTTCAGCAAAGATAAGAGAAATGTAGTGCAGCTACAAAGAAAAGACAAAAGTGACTTTGCACATAAAGGTGAAGACAGCTTTGCCCAAGTTTTTAGCTAAAAGATCTAAGCATTGGGAGCAACCTGGGTTTGACATAGTCAGTGCTACTGTTCAGAAGTATAATTGAAATGCCTACTTTGTGAATGTGGACTGTAGGAACTATGTGATAGTACCTTCTGAAAAATTCTGCTTGTTTGGGGTAGTGATACGAAGAATGTCCTCTTGAAGCCACTGCAAGCCCTGCATAGTCATGAAAAACTATTGAATTATTACATTAGATGAATCAAATGAGGGATAATTGTTTTATTACTCAGACATATCCCTTACTCTTTCATACTAACAAACCCACAGAGCTTGTCTGTGTCTTTATACACTTTGCAAAACATTAATCATCAAATTCCATTTCTTTCTTTTTTGTTTCTATTGCTGAAAGACTTCCTATGAATTATGACTCCATTTGTAGAACTAAAGTTAGTTTCAGAAGCAATAATTACATTGATTTCAAATGGTGCATGAAGCATGAAAGTGAGTGCTAGATAGCAAAGAAGCCAGTGATTTTTAAATAGTGATTCTTCTGTCAGGAAAGGTCCTTAATAACCAGGGTAAAGAGGAACATGCAGTTTCCTTAAGAGTTTTATGTTATGTTTTATAAGTGTTTATATGGTTTCAGTGTAAACAGCAGATAGATCTCCAATGATGACTGCATGACACTCATTATGATACAGATCAATAACTGATTCTGTATTGCATTGAGATGTGAAGAAGCGTCCTACCAAAGCCACATGACTGAGACTGAATGTTGTTCCATATAGCCTCCGTTGTGTCATAACAGTTTGCTATATAGTATTTCTGCCATTGTTGCTGGATTTTCCAGCTTTGCAGAAATAACAGAAAAATAAAATGAACTTTAGAAATGTCTTCTCAGATTAATAGTTTCACTGATCAAAGTACTTTTAAAATACATTCAAAATGAGAAAACACTTAGAAAAACTGAAAAGGAAGTATATGCCAGGCTAGATAGAACCATGTAGATTATTTATAAAATCTTTGATAGTTTCATTAGAATTCCATTATGAAACTCCTCTTTTTTTGTATGATTAATCCTTTTTTGTTCTGGTATTCTTGGCTTTTTAATAAACTGAGGGATAAACACAGAAACCAACAAGATGAGTAATCTGCTTCTTGCTTGCATTTGATTCTTCCCAATTCAATTGTTCCTTATTCAAAAGTGCATTTTTCTTTTTTTCAAATTATCTTTTTTTTAGATCAATATAGAAAAAAATACATATGCATTTAAGACAAAGAAACATTTTACTTTTGAAACTATATGAAGCAAGGAAGAAGAGTGGCCTGCAATCTCGTCACCTTGTTGTTTGTTTTCCAATTAGTTCAAATTAGATAATGTGTAGCAATGAAGGGATATATGGAGAGATGCAGCTGTAAGCCTTAGCCATAAACATCTCACCCCCTTTTTTTTTTTTTTATCTTTGAGTGGGTATAAAGAATTTGGGCATATATATATAAGGTTTTTATGCTAGTTTATTTTAACCTATGCCTTTCATTTTCTGTTTAAATGCTATTTAGAGTAATTTTAGAAATTATTTGTATTAGATCAGTAATTTTACTTTATTACTTGAAAAAGGTCTAGAATAATAAATATGAGAGGAGAAGTATAATTTATAGATCATTTGTTTTAATATTATTTATCTTAACATCAACAATATAAATGTTTAAGATGTACTATTTTAAATTTTTTGTCTGAAAGGCACTATGGTAAACCCTTTTTTTTCTCATAAAATACCATATATGGTTAATTCATTAATGGAAAATAATACCCTTATAGGCCTAGTACGTAATAGATTGAAAATCTGCCATTACGATATGTAAGAACATTTAGATGTATATGTTGTGTATCTTCAGAAAGCCATTATTGAACACTTAGGGAAAAATTCTGTGACAGTTGTATGCTCATTCTTGTAGAAAATACAGGATACAAACACATGAGGTGTTTTCTGAATGAACTGATGCCTTCCAACTCTAGGGATCTGACAAGTGATAATGTCCTTTCAATCAAGAGGTGTTCGTTTTTTCAGCGTCAAGGTTAAGACATTCGTAGTTGACTGATAATTTACTCTGACAATGAGTTATAGTTTAGAAAAGATTAAAAATACTATCACCCCGTCTTTCCCTCTCATTTTTAACATTTTTTATGAGTTGCATTTTTTTGTTTCATTAATTCAATATAGATTGCTAAAGTGCTGGGATTACAGGTGTGAGCCACTGTGCCCAGCCTAGATTGCTTTTTATTTTGAAATAATTGTTGATTAACACGCTGTTGTAGGAGATAATACCCAGAGATATTGTATCACTTATCCAGTTTTCCTCATATCTTGTGCAACTATACTGAAACGCCAGAATATTAATACTGCTACAATCTACCACTCTTTCAAATTTCTTTAGCTTAACCTGTAGTTAATTGTATTTGTATGTATTTGTTTAGTTCTGTGCAATTTTACCTACAAAGTAAGTGTGTGTTTAGGCCATCATAATGAAGATACAGAGTAGATAATTTTATCACCACAAGAATGCTTCATGTTGCCTTTTCATGACAATACTTACTTACCTCCATCATCCATCTTTAACCTCTGGCAACCACTTATCTGTTGTCCATTTCTGTAATTTTGTCATTTCAAGAATGTTATATGTATAAATGAAATTACACCATGTCACCGTTTGGGATTGACTTTCCTTACTCAATATAATTCTCTAAAGATTTTTCCAAGTGTTTATGTGTATCAGTAGCTCCTTTTAGTTGTTGAATAGTGTTTTGTGATATGGGAATACTACAGATTGTGTGACCACTCACCAGTTGAAGGAAATTTGAGTTGTTTCCAGTTTAGAGCTACTGCAAATAAAGTTGCAATGACCATTCATGTACAGGTTTTTATGTGAACATAAATTTCCATTTCTCTGGGATAAATGTTTCAGAATCCAGTTGCTGTATATCATGGTAATTCCACAAGTAGTTTTATAAGAAACTGCCAAAATGTTTTCCAGAGTGGCTGTGCTATTTTACATTCCCACCAATGATATATGAGTGTTCATTTCTCTGCATCCTCGCCATTGTTTAATGTTTTTCACCATTTTTATTTTAGATATGTAGTAATATCTCATTGTGGTTTTAACCTGTATAACTCTAAGGCCAAAAACAATTTGTTTCATAAGATTATTTGCCACCTGTATATCCTCTTCCACAAAATATCTGTTTATGCCTTTGAACCATATGCTAATTGGAGTGTTTGTTGTTGTTATTAGTTTTTTTTATGTTGACTTTTGAGAGTTCTTTCTGCGTGCTCGATACTAGTTATTTTTTGGATTGCAAATATTTCTAAATTTGTTTTACAAATCTGTTTCCCAGCCTATAGCTTGTGTTTTCATTCTCTAATACATATATTTTAATTAACATATACATGTCTGTTCAACATGACTATTCCCATGCAATTTGTATTTTCCTTTCCTCAGTGACTTTTTCTTTCTTTATCATCTATCACAAATATACAATTCTGTCTGTTATTTTCATACATGTCCAAAGTATATTTAATAAAACTCCTCTGATCTTTTGCTTCTTGATTAAATGGCTTTGGAGGATGGAAAGTTGCAGCTCATACTGATGGTGTTAAAAACTAAGAACAAAAAGTATTCACAAAAGGGTGAAAGAATTTAACATTGTTCCATTGCTATGTCAAAGTTCAAACAACCAGTTGGAAAATGGAAAATGGAATTATATATATGTACATTGCTTGACATCATAAAGTTAATAATTTATTTAAAAATAACATCTATATGATTTTTTATCAGATTCGTAAGATCACCAAATTAGTATGCTTCCCATGGTGTACTAATGAGTGATTATATTTTATGTTATTTCGTCATAAATGATTCTTCATAGAATTTAAGAAATGTCAGATTCTTCTGTTGTGTCAACAGCTGCTCTCCAAATGAGTGTTTTATCATAAATGTTGCCTTTTACCCTTTTTTACTTTCATTGGAATTAACCCAATGGTTTCTGTGAATGAGGGAATCTTATGTTTAATTTTTGCTTTCTTTTTGTGTTTTAAACTTTTTTTTCTGGTTTTTGTTTTGTGTTTTGTTTGTATGAATGATTAGATTTTGCTTTTTTTCATTTTCATTTTCATTTTTAGCAAGCATGGGAATATATTCTTGCATACACCTTGGGAAAGAGAAAACCTTAATGTAGTTTAATCAACATTGTAAATCATTTTCTGTCTTTCCCATTGACTCAGATATGTGCATTGTTGGAAATGTGTGCTCTAAGTGGCATATTTTTTTAGCCTAGTTAGCTGCCTGCCTGTAATCAGGACTATATCAATTGTTGTCATTCTAAATGTTTCCTTTCTTTTTTTCAAACACATTTGCCTGATTGACCTTTTTTTTTTTTTTTCTCTGTCTTTCTATGGGGCTGCTCCAGGAGCCATGGCTAATCATCTTATAAGCAATGCTCTGCTTCGTCCGCATGGTACTAACAATCCCTATAATACATTGCTGGGGGAACCGGCGGTCTGTAACAACCCTTCTGTCAGCATGTACAACACACAAGGTGTGCTGGAGTTTATCTTAATTTTTTCAAGTGAGAGTCCCATTTTATGTAGCTTTTATGGGCACATTTTATTTTTCTTTCTCCTGCCTTTCTTTGTTTTGGAAGCAGACACGCAGACTCCTTTTGCATTCCACCCCTCTTGGTGCTTTTATTTTCCATTTTCCTTAGGTTTTCCTTAGTAAGAAATGGATTCCCTCTGATAAACAAATGCCTGATTCATCAATATGTGTTTGTTTCTCCATGATGTTATAAAATGTATTGTGGTTTGTCAGTACTTTTTTTGTTGTTCATTTATTTCTATATTAAATACCTATGTATTTGTTTTGAGAAATGAGATATTTTCCTAAGGTAAGTAAGATGAAAGAAGACTTGATTCAATATTCTCAATATTACAAGGTCAAGAAAATAAATCTTACTTTGTTATACTATGAAATCCACTCTGAGCACAAACCATTAGTCCTGATGAAAGCATTTAAGTCAACTCAGGGGAAAATTACATTGAACTAAGCAGTGGAAGATAAAAATACTGTACTGGTAATAGCAGCTTGGGTTCTGCCTTAGCTCTGCCATTGCCAATAAGAGCTGGCTCAGGCAGGTCATAAAATTGCCTTTTCTGCTGTGGCTACACGTTAAAAACAAAGCTTTTGAGTATGGTTCCTCTGTACACCCTCTAGCTTGAAAATGATCCAAAAATTAATCATATCTCAGGCAAAAAAGAAAAAAATCCATCATACATCTCTTTAAAACCACTTACAATGTAAGCATTTGGACATTGTTTTACCTTTCCTGAGTATAAAAATGTGTTGACACAGAAAACTTAAGCTATATCGTGTATAAAGAGACCACAAGAGAAAATTATTCAAATAAAAGTTTTATAAAAGTCTTAGTCAGTGATCCTCATACTTAAAATTATACTTGAAATAAAAATTCACGATTACAAAGAGACTTCCATGATTCTTTCAAGTTGAATGTGATTGGCAGTATTTAAATTTTCTAGGCAATTTTGAATAAAATTTCTAATAACCTCTTTGGAAATCTTTGGATTTTTTTTTTCTCAGTCACGGGTGAAAGATTAGTAGTGTGAGTGTGTGCCACTTACTGTGAATGTGCCATTGCAAAAAAGGATATATTTGTTTTAACAGGGCCATTGTGTGTCTAAAATCATCTGAGCTTCCCTAGGAGGCATCTTGCCAGATACAAAGGATGATTTTAAATTATTCCAGAAACACCAAAGTCAAAAGCGACTTCAGGAATATAGTCAAAACGTTTGTCAATACAGTGAAATAATTCAGCTCACTTTCAATTTCAAATTTCTTAAGGGATACACGTCTTTAGAATCAGAAGGCATAGACAGCTCACTGAATTCTCTTTACATCATTGCTGACGTTCTGTCAGTCTGTGCTTAAGTATTTCCTCTAATGGGGCCCATCACACCTCAGAATCTCATATATTCTATTGTTGAAACACTCCATTTGTGATATATATATTTTTTTCCTTCCACTAAACTGAAATTTTTCTCTGGCCTCCAGAGTAAAGAAGAGCAAAGCATTTTCTGCTGTCTGAGGCAATCTTTAAATGCCTGTAAACAGCTAACCTGTCTTCCTTTAGTCTTCCATTTCTGTAATGAATCAGAACGATCAATATGAGAGTTTCTGGGTCTTTCTTCTTGGTTACCCCACCTAAAGTGTCTCTTATATCTCAGTGTCCCTATTTCATTGTAGCACTCAATGAATTATACATTACCTAATGCATCAGATGTGGTTTGGCAGAACAATTTGTTAGACTTTATAAAGGCTTGTTTTGTTTTGTTTTTTTCTTTATTTTCCTTAGGACATGTGACAGGTAACTAAATCATTACAAACATGTTAACATGTGCTGACATATTAGTAAATTTTGAGTGATGTTAAATGAAGATTTTTACCCTATCTGGAAATTAAATGTATTCTACATTTATTCAGCCTACACAGAAGAGTCATACCTAATGATTTTAAAACAAGTAATAAACTTGGACCACATTTTGTTTAGCTTTTTTGCTAATTCAGATATAATTTCTAACTTCTTATATAATGAACAAGTAACACTTATTAATCTGTATCGTTTTCCTAATTCAATATCTGCCTTCTTGTCTTACTTTATTTTTACTGGTATCTTAAAGTAAGAGATTTTTCCAAGGATGGAATACTTCTATAAAAACTATCAAACTGCAATTCTCACAATGTAAGAATTTTAATTAATTCTATATTGATACAAACTTTTATTCTTGGGATCTATGGTAATTGCTACTGAGATTGTAAAAAAATACACAAAGGATTCTTCTGAATGGATTTGTCTTTTATTCAAGTAAATGCAATAACTTTTACTGACTTTTTCAAAAAACTAAATAACTTTATTAATGCTTTTCAGAGTCAGAGGTGGAATTTAATGTTTTAATATTAAACAACACTATTTAATGTTTTAATATTTTTAAAATGTTAAGAAACTATGGTAGTGCTTAAAATAATTCATTTTTACCACTGACCAAAAATAAATCTTGGTGATTGTCATATTGCTACTAATCTTATACTTTCAGATGAATGCACTTATATTCTTACTGGCAAGGTGAAATCTTACATGAAATATAGGTGGCTCGGTATGTACTGGAGTGGTTTATGTTGAATTACCACTTGGTTCTATTCTGTGGGTCCTCTGGTTCAGTTGCACCAATGCTATCCAAGCATAGAAGCATTCTGATTTAAAGTATCTCTTCTTGGTTGTAACACCCTTTATTTAAAATATGTAAAGATAGGCTTATTGTGTCACTGAGGCATAGGGAATTAGGAATGAAGATTAATAATATATTTCTATTATACTGAATTCAGATTCTATCTGGAAATATTTAAAATTTCATGCAGAGTACTTCTGGACCATTATCTTCTTGTCATTATTAGGAATTTAATTTTTGTAAAGATAAATCTCATTATACAAAAATGTGTCAACAAAACATAATTTAGAGAGGAAGTCATGATTTTGCTAAAATAATTTACATTTTAAAGTAATTTAATGTAATTCTAAAACTTCAAAGAAACATAGTTGTAGAATGGGATATAGTGAAGAATATATTTTAGTTGGTAAGAATACAAGACCATTTTAGAATGTATATAAATAGATATTCTGCCATGGTTTTCAAAGCCTGAGGCAGATGTGAAGTGAAGGAGATTGCAGCAGACAGAATTGGAAGAAGTCTGGAAGACTTTTTTTTTTAATCCCAGCTCTGCCATATTAGCAGGGTGGTGTTAGATAAAGGCTCAGCCCCTCTGGGCTGCAGGCTCCTCTTCTCTGAAAAGTGGAAATTGAACTTCAGTGATCCCTCATGTGCTTTCCAGTTCTAAAATACATTGATTTAAGGAATGAGCCATAATGAGCCTACAAGCATTTACATCTCTTGATACACTGGCTTGGCTCTTCCTTGCAAATTCTTGTTCTAAAGCTCTTTTGAAACTTTAAAAGAGATTTCCTCTGCATTTTGAAATGTTGTTTATCTTTTTGCTGAGAAGCAAATCAACCTTTAAAGTACCAAAACTGTCTCTTTAAACTGTCATTAAATTATAGTAAGTTAGAACCCTTTGAAATGATCTGGCCCAGTGAATTTGCTGGTTTTTATTTTATGATACTTTACTCTTTTTGTAGACAAAACCAGCAAGAACAACTCTGTTAACCTGGTTAAAATAAGGGTTTTTTCCCCTAAAAAAATAATTTCGATGCAATTGTTTTTTAAAGGCTCAGCTCTTAAAATGTTTGATTGCACATGATTGTGCAACAATCCAGAAGAAAACTTAATATTTTTGGTTGCATCTTCCCCTCTCACATTTTCTGTATTGAGAATAATAAATAAATTTAATCATTTTCTCTCCGTAGTTACACAACCTTTGAATATGAGCTCCAAAAATGACAATATTGATCAGCTTTTATTTAAAACTGATAAAAAACATTTATATATTTCTAATGAAATAACTTTTGTGCAGGAAAAGAGAAGACACATAAGGCGGTAAAAAAAGAACACAATTATGAAAGTCTTCAACTCTGGTTTTTCTCTGTATAAAAGCTTCAGATTTTATTAATAATTTTACTGAAAAATTTTGAAATTAAATAATATTCCTTGGAGCAGGTATACTCTAACATACATACACATATGTGACATTGAAATATATTGGTGAAAATAGTCATGGTCTGCCCTCAAATTTTTACTTTCCTTGGTTTATGTGATAATCTTAAGTGTGTGTTTGTTTGAAATTTACAAATGGTGGAAATGCTTATTAAAGACTCATTATATTAGCATGTGTTAAGGGGGATTTCTTATTTTCTGACTAACATTTCAGTATTTTTAATTATGATAAATCATGTAACCCGGACTCATGAATTTTGGGGCAGTGGAAATTATTTCCTTTAACTCTTTTTTCTGCATATCATCAATTTGCTTTTTACTCATGTTTCTTCTACTGTCGCTGTAAGCTTACTTGTTGTTTTTTCTTTCCTTTTCTTCATGCTGTCGTTTAGAGCCCTACAGAGAGACAAGTATGGGAGTAAAGCTAAACATTGCATATCAAATGTAATTTTTTTTAGTTCACTTTTATTGCATCACATATAGATGATGTAGTTATTAAAAACAGTTCATCTCACAATTTAAAAACTAAAAAGCCTATGAATCGACTTATATAAATATATGTTAATAGAGATTAGACGCTTTTGTTGTCTGATTCTTTTATTCTGTCACATAATCAGCATAGTTGTTAAGTTTCATGTAATGTTTGTGTGAGTTAAATTGTTTTTAAATCAAGCATTTATTTTTGCTAAGTAATTCATAAACTTTTAATTTTTATTAGTGCATTCCATCATAAAAATGTGTCACATGCAACATATCCACTTTATTTTACAATGGCTGTTTACAGCCCGTACCTAATGCATTGACAAACAGAAATAATAAATGTGTGTTTCAATGCATCAGCCATTCAATCACAACCATCAAGCATACCATAACAGCTTCTGCAGCAGCTACCACCCATCACATACAGCCCTTTAAGAAGCATTTACTTTTATTTTTTCTTAACATTGTGGATTTGTCTACAAGATATAAAATGAAAATAAATTTCTTCACCCTATATCTGTGATGGCTGCTTATTAATACATTTTATGCATTGCTGATTTTGAAAACTGTGTTACTGGAATACAGAGTATGCCTCACGAGTCCAAATAAAAATTGACATATTTGAAACACATCCTTTAAACCATTAATTAACTATTCAAGTTGTTATAAATAACTGCATCACAGATATAGAATGAATGCTATATTTTCACAAGTTAGCAATGTATTAAGAAGTTTAACAGAATTCTACAATTAATTTTTTGTGTAAATAAACACACTTTCTTATTTACCAGTATTGGTTAAATGTGTTTTTTTCATTTTCTAGTTGCATTTGAAGTGATTTGTGAAACTATTATAAATTCTTGGATTTCTGTTCATTCAAGGGAATGCAAAAACCTTGAAGAGATATGTGGTCAAATTTATTTCACTGCAGCTGTTTCTTACCAGAATAAAATGTTTATATTCTTTTAAACCCAAACTTTAACATGCACACAAATCCATCACTCATTATATAATGGTAACATTAATACTGACACAATGTTTTTAGGAATCAGATACCTGTTTCTTTACACATCCTTTGTAGTATTATCTAATGACCCTAAAAATATCACTTATGGGGTAGTATAACAACCAAATTGCTTATAGCAGAAAAAAATTAGAAAGTAAATTCCAATACTTTTGTTTTGAAAATTCCTAGGTGTAAATTATTTTTATGTGCCATTTATTTGACTAAACATTATTTCATGACCTCATCATTCTGACAAATTTAACATAATCCTTTTGTGGTTTTGTATGTAGGGATTGTTTTTAAACTTACAAAATTAAATATCAATTTATTAGACACTGCTTGTTGCTTTTACTTTTGACCAGTATATTAAAAGTACCACACATGAATTATGTTAATATTTTACCTATTTTGATGTTAAGATAATATTTAAAATTAAAGGTAATGAATTATTTAATTGACTTTGATATGTATAAATTGAAAGCTATGAATGTCTATACCAAAATTTTATGTTATTTTTCCAAGTTATAACTAAATATACTTCAAATAATATCAGGTATGTTTGTGTGGCAATTGCAAATTGATAATCTATAGGTTTTCAAAAATTCTTTTAAAGATCTGTTTTAAAAATGACTTTCCCATTTATATGATTTCAATCACTGGTCCAATTATACACATATATAGATTTAATAGTATTTTCTGTTTCCTTCCAAATATTTTACGCTTAAGTAAAAATGCTAACAATTTATACATATTTCATAGTTGATGAATGTTTTTGCTTTTGTGTGTGTGTGTGTGTGTGTGTGTGTGTGTGTGTGTTCTTTGGCTTGTTGGATATCAATGTCATAGTATCTTGTAATCTTTTTCAGAGGGGCTTCTGAACAATGCCAGGGATACAAGTGTCATGGATACTCTACCACTGAATGGTAACCATGGCAATAGTTACAGCATTGCCAGCGGCGAATACCTGAGCAACTGTGTGCAAATCATAGACCGTGGCTACAACCATAACGAGACCGCCCTAGAGAAAAAGATTCTGAAGGAACTCACTTCCAACTATATCCCTTCTTACCTGAACAACCACGAGCGCTCCAGTGAACAGAACAGGAATCTGATGAACAAGCTGGTGAATAACCTTGGCAGTGGAAGAGAAGATGATGCCATTGTCCTGGATGATGCCACCTCGTTTAACCATGAGGAGAGTTTGGGCCTGGAACTCATTCATGAGGAATCTGATGCTCCTTTGCTGCCCCCAAGAGTATACTCCACTGAGAACCACCAGCCACACCATTATACCAGAAGGCGGATCCCCCAAGACCACAGTGAGAGCTTTTTCCCTTTGCTAACCAACGAGCACACAGAAGAGCTCCAGTCACCCCATAGAGACTCTCTCTATACCAGCATGCCGACACTGGCTGGTGCGGCCGCCACAGAGAGTGTTACCACCAGCACCCAGACCGAACCTCCACCGGCCAAATGTGGTGATGCCGAAGATGTTTACTACAAAAGCATGCCAAACCTAGGCTCCAGAAACCACGTCCATCAGCTGCACACTTACTACCAGCTAGGTCGTGGCAGCAGTGATGGATTTATAGTTCCTCCCAACAAAGATGGGACCCCACCCGAGGGAAGTTCAAAAGGACCTCCTCATTTGGTCACTAGTCTATAGAAGATGACACAGAAATTGAAACCAACAAAACTGCTAACACCTTGTTGACTATTCTGAGTTGATATAAGCAGTGGTAATAATGTGTGTACTCCTAAATCTTTATGCTGTCCTCAAAAGACAAACACAAACTCTCAGACTTTTTTTTAATGGGATTTTTAGGTCAGCCCAGGGGAGAAAAATAACTGCTAAAATTCCCCTGTTGTACCCCATCCTTTCTTGTCCTTTCCCCTTCAGATGGAGACTTCATTATGTTAATGAACAAGATATGAAGAAAATGGCACTCATTGTGGCCTTGTTGAATTATGTTGTGTATGGTTTAACATCTCTGATGCTCTGTTACTAAAATTACAAGGACCTGCTTTTTAAAAGGCCAGAACAGTTGTCTGAAATTAGTAACAATGCTGCATCTAGATTGGAGTGATGCACAAATATAAAAGCAAAGCAAAACTGTTTCACCTAGTGATTTTGGTCACTCACAACCTGAATTCACCACAGCTGGAATAGCTGCGGAAAACAGTAAAACAACAAAATTAATAATGAAATGGAGGGGAATTCTAGAATTATATGCTAAATGCATATTTTATGATTTGCTGTATTAACTGATGATAAAACTAATGGCAGAAAAAAAGTTGAACAATTTCTATGTAATGTACAGATACTAGCATTGCACATATAGTCTGCTTTCTGTTCCTCCAGAATTTGAGTCCTGTTAATGTAGTAGGAAAAAAAAAATTTTTTCTTTTTCTTTTGTGCTGGTCTTGCAAGTTTGTCTACCAGTAAGAGAGCAAAGTTTCCTTCCTTTCTTCTCTTTCTTTCTTCATTTTCTTTTACTTTCTTTTTTTCTATTTTTCTTTTTTTCCTTTAAAATTTCACCTGGCAAAAAAATAAATAAATAAATGAAACTATCACTTTATAAGAATCATTTTCTAGTAATGCAAACAAATTATTTTTTACAAAAAAAATAAAATAAATAAGACTTCCTTCCCTCACTATATATCTTTATGCAGTCAGAATATTTCCAACAGTGTTTTTTCTGTAAATTAGAGCAGTACAGACTCTTATGTTTACAGGGCACATTTGTTGTAATGCAAAGCATATTTGGCAAGCGGTTCATCACCAGAACACTAGCTATGATTCTAGAAGTCAAGAGGTGTCTATAGTGGGGCCTCTGCATGTGAAAACGGTTTTCCATAGGCATTAAATGCTGAATACTCAGTCTGATCCCCTAGTGGGCACCTGCACTACCAATTTTTAGAGGAAATTCACTCCGTTGTAGTAAGAATTGAAAGGTCAAACTATTTTGAAGTGATTAAAAAAAAAGTCTTCTGTTTATTAACAGGAAAAATTATTTATTTGACAGGATTTTGAGTAATGTAGGAATACAAGAGGTAAATTAGCAGCACATAAATTTTTTTTTTTAATTTATGATCCATTTTGTATGGTCTCAAAGTTGGATGACCTCATTACTAATATTTGTTGTAAAAGTGAAACTTGTTTGCCAACCAATAAACAACTGATTGAGATTTAGAAGATATTGTATTGATGTATGTACTATATGATTAATTAGTCTTTTTTATTTTTCTCGCCTTTGTTTCCTTCTGTTTTCAATACATAATCTTTGCTAATCCTCTGTGGCCCAAATGAGCCATGTAGAAGAAATCAATCTAAATCTGCCTAGATGAATAACCTAAGCACAAAATCGTACAGGTTTGCAGACAAAGTAAACCAGAAAAGATGGGATGGGCATGCTTATTTTGGCTGAACTCAGATGCATAACTTAATTTCGAGAAGGTTAATATGTATGTTAATATTTGCTTATCTATAAACCAGCTGCAGTCACTATGCTTACTTTAAAAACCATATTCAATCAGAGATGTAAATATCAAATTTCAAGGCTGGGTAAGTCATGTTTTTTCCTCCTGTGTACATTCCATTTTGATGTTAGAAATTCAGATTCACTCAATTTGCTAAAAGCTGCAAAGTGAATACTCATTTATAAAGACACAGTAAGACTTTATTTTTGTTTTCTTTTTCTTATTATATGTATGAGGGAAACAGAAGAAGATAAAGCAAGTTCTTTCAAATAAACTTTCTAGATCTCCAATTACAGTAGATTCTTTATAGCAGTTTTCAAGTATGGATCCCGTTAGGGCAAAGTTAAAAGGAATCTGCCAAATTATAATTTCTCCTGTAGTGTGTTTTATGTTGCTATTTCCTTTTTCAAAAATCTAAACACTACCCATCTATAAATGACTATCTTAAATCAAGATGAGCAGTTTAGAGAATGGCCAATAATCTGTATATAGTTTATAAATACATGACAAAAAAAAATCTGCTAGGCCAGAGTGCATCATAACCTTCCCATCACCTAAGCATATTTTATGTATCATTCCTTTTTAGTCAATTGGCATGAAAATTTTTTAAGTCTACAGATTCTACATTGGAGGAGAATCACAAGCTTTCATGGTAATTAGGTTTTCTCACAGCACTGGCAGTATTAGCACCTCCAAGGCGTTTAACCCACCAGATACATAGAATACATTTGGCAATAAAAGAATCCTTTTTAGATATGTTTAAGGTAACTTTGGAAACACAAATATAGTCTGTGGATTATGAGCACTTATGCTTGTTTTGTCAAACAGTAATCTACATGAAAGCAACTCTGTCAGTAAGAAGCTGGTTTCACAGAAAAATGGGGAAACTACCTCAATTCAGCTTGCTGATTTTCTGACATTGCTACCTCCCTGCCATTATTTTTGTGCTTCTATATGGAAATTTGAAGCAGGTAGCCTCTCAAACTCTACATAGATCGAGTTGAAGAAAGATCACTTGAATACATACATGGTGCAGAAGAACATTCAGCACTACAGTTACTACCAAGCTCTTGTATCAAGATAAAAGGGTGAGATTTTTGAACTCTATACATCATAAATGCTGTGTTTTCAGAGAGACTTAAGATCCCAAAGATTATAACAGGGAGAGATTTCCCCCACAAGTTTTATGTAACCATAATAAAAAAATAAAGTGGATAAAGGAGCTAATTTTACATACATTTCAATAGACATTTGCATATATCTAACGTATTCATTTTGACCTGTTTACACTAACAAAGGTTGAATTCCTGCACTTGAATCTTTTTCTTCTCATACATTTTCTTATAGAGCTATTGATGAATTAATTAATGATTTTTAAATTTTTCTTTTTTCTACCACCTTTTGTGACTCGATTTTTTTAATATCCTGAGACATTTATGACCTACTTATCTATATTTTTTATGTGTTCTTCTGACTTTCAGGTAAGAAGTAAATTTCCATCAAACAGATACACTATACAACCATAATACAGCTTATTTAGCCAACTAGAAGTAAAACTTAATGCTATTGAAGCAAACAATTACTTTCTCATCAAATAATAGTTTTGTAACATTTTTAGATTTGGTTGTTTTTCCTCTTTGAAATCTAGTTCACATGATACTTTATCAGGACACTAGTGGACTTCATGTTGAGTTAATTCTGAAATTGATGGATTGTTGCATAGCCTCTGTTCCTAATTGATAAATATTTGTGGCAAAGTCCAAATTTTGTGAAGGAGAAATTTGTTGGAATTCCAGTTAAATTTTATGGGGATCCCTTCTTGCTTCCACTATATTATAATTAAACACACTGAATTGGAATAATAAATTACTATGCTAAAATAATCATAATAAAAATGAACTGACATGAGGACAATTATCTTAAAGTAACAATAATCGGGAAAATAACATGTTAATAAAAAGCAGGTAAGGGAAATACCCTTAACTTCCTGTAAAAAAATATTCACAATGACTCTAAATTAAGATGTAGTTTATCATCTGTATAAAATCTCCATTATAACTAAAAAATGTTGACATATTAAGGAAAGACTCTTTAAAATCTAGGTTTAAGATTTTTATGATATTAACTTAATTGGTATGACAAAACTTTTCATAATAGAGATAAGCATATAAAGGAATTAGTAAAATTTATAAAGAACCCACGTATTTAATTTTAGGCATTATCTTCAGCTTCCCCTGGGCCCCAACACATGTTGAAATGTTTTTGACTAGCTTGCTTACTTTAAGGAATGACATTAAAAACTTTGACTGACTTTCTACAGTACTGGAAAGACCAAAAGGGAGAGGAAAAATGATTATGAGTTGTTTAAAGATCACCTCCAGACTAATCTATATCATCCCCTAATAATGAAAAAACAATTAGTTGTTAGAAGTTTCTATCACTACTGTACTGAAGTGTTACTGCTTGGATGTTTTTGTTGTTGTTATAGATGGGGTCTTGCTCTGTCACAAAGACTAAAGGGCAATGGTGCAACCCCAGCTCACTGCAGCCTCAGACTCTTGGGCTCAAGTGATCCTCCTGTCTCAGCCTTCTGGGTAGTCGTGATCACAGGCTTGAGCCACAGCACTTAGCCTGTGATGTTTTGAGGAGGGAAAAAAAACAGCATTACAGAACTATAACGCATGTCAATTCAGATTTAGAGAGTGAAAAAACAAGAACCCAAAGTCTCATAATTTAAGTTTTGAGCAAATCTGCAGATATTGGTATGAATATCCTTTCTTCTCTTAGAAAAATTTTGAGATAAAATAACAATATATATAAACTTCCCAGTATATTGCAAACCAAGGTGTTAAAATTTAATTAGTTCGTTTCTTATAATTCATAATTTTATCTTACCATATAAACAATTACTATGCATTTCTAAGTAATGCTTTCAATATAGCTTATGTTAGATTTCTGTACATCATTAAATTAGGAAGATGGAGGCACAAAAGCAGCAACGTTGCACAATAGCTTATGGAAGTATTTTTGTGCAAATAGATTTTACGTAAGAAGCTTCTTGGAGCTCATAAAATATATTCGATGGATCCCAACATTAAATTTAATTTTGTAATCAGCAAATATGTTCTTTATAGCATCTGAAAAATATTAAAAAACTAAATTTTTATTTGTAGGCTAGCAGGATTTAAAAGTGTTGGTAGTTGCTTCTTTCCTGATTAGACCATAAGAAGAAACTTTTCTATTTACTAATTAACACTGATTACTTTCTCTTTGGTTTAAAAGGGAAACTTGCACCTGTACACATCTCACACATTCTGATTCCATTTATTTACAGCCTGCAGAAGAAATAGCTTGTTTATGATATTTAAAACTTTGTGATTTCTGCAGTAAAACAGGCAGTTAATATGGTTTTGCATAATCTCTTTGAAAGATATTGCTATTCCTTCTTTATTTAAAAAAAAAATTTAAAAGTCAGCACTTCTTTCACATCTAGCACCTGTAAGTTACTATTCAAACTTGATTTCAGCTAAGTTTTGTTTTGTTTTGTTTTGTTTTGTTTTGTTTGTTTTGAGACGGAGTCTCACTCTGTCTCCAAGCTGGAGTGCAGTGGCACGATCTTGGCTCACTGCAACCTCTGCCTCCCATGTTCAAGCAGTTCTCCTGCCTCAGTCTCCTGAGTAGCTGGGATTATAGGCATGTGCCACCATGCCCAGCTAATTTTTGTATTTTTAATGGAGACGGGGTTTTGCCATGTTGGCCAGGATGGTATTAATCTCCTGACCTCGTGACCTGCCTGCCTCGTCCTCCCAAAGTGTTGGCATTACAGGCGTGAGCCACTGCGCCTAGCCTCAGCCAAGTTTTGATGTTTCTTTTTTTCTTGATAGTATGTCAAGAGCATTGTTCTCATTTGATAATTTCCGTCTCAGAGTATTTCAAAGGTAAATACAAACTAATTTTTAAGAAGTCTTGTGAAAAAACTTTGATTTATGTAAAGAAATCAAGAAAGGGTATACTTGAACAATTCTCAATCAGGATAAACAATTCTCTTCAACAACAATATGAGCAACAGAAGAGCAGAAACCAACCAAGTTAGCAAACTTATGGTGAAGAGACAGGACCTAAACTAAAGTTCTAGAGAAAAGTTTTCCAGGAAATAATAAAGTCATTGGTAGTGATAAAAATCTTATACACTCTATCAAATGCTACTGGTGTATTCAAAAAATTAAAATTTGAGTTTCTTATATTATGATTTCATTCTGCTAATTCCACAGGAAATATTAAGTACTTTAAACACCCCAGATATTTCTTATCTAGCTATACCTTACTTCAAGGAAACATCAATATTTTATAATGTTTCTTAAATGTAAGTATTTTGCCTCAATTCATCGTCACTCTGTAATCTGCTGACTCTCTTGTATACCAACAGAGTTAATGCTTTTAGTAGCTTTGTACCTTTTAGAGCTCTATTATGAATCTTTCTAATAAACATGAAATTAATATTATATTAGAATTATGTACATTGTACAAAATAATTCACAGCCATACAATATTCATACTATAGAATAATTTATTATTATATATATGAATATTACATGGAGGCTGAACAAATAACTACTCTGCTCCAAATATTACTCTCAAGTTCTTTTTCTTTAATTACTGTAATCAACTCATAAAATTCTGCATACAGTGGTACATGGTGGGTTATCAAAATACTCCAT